CCCTGCTATCTGGTTGATATTTTATTTATGTTGTAAAGAGAAAATTCTGTCTTAGTCACTAATGGAGTGAAAGGGTTTAACTCCCAGAATTGATTAACATGTAACTTCTCCCTATCATATCAGTACATACATCATTTAGCAAACAGCGAGAGAATACTCAAGCTTATCAGGTAGAAGTTGTTATCTTGATCTAACACCAAATTCTTGTAATCAATTTTAATGAAAATGTGTAGCACCAAGAGGGGATGATTAACAATCAGATCTTCAGAGTTAACCCTTTAATTCCTTGATCAAATTCTCCTTACTGTCAACTATACAATTTGTATAAAGTTAGTTCAGAAAATTAATTGTTGGATCGACTAATCATCCTCAAATTAATATTTTTTTTTAGTCTCATCACTTATCTGGTTGTTATTGTATCGATATTGTAAGGAGAAATTCTGTCTTGGTCACTCATGAGAGTTAAAGGGTTAAAGGGTGAACATTAAATTCTCAGCATCAAAATTATCAGACAGTTGGGGGGCGGATTTATTTTTAGACCTCCGAGCATGCATAGCTTCACACAGGCCTGTCAATCCAACTGTCAATTATGTAATCCCCCATGTACGCTGCATTCGCAAATATTGTTTCTTGCTCAGACAACTGAAACATAGGGCTATTCATTGAAGAAGAATTAGTAGTGTTATCTTGGTCCTTGCTCTTTACCAACAAAAATGTGAATCTTAAGAGACTGAAGCTGGTGGTGAACCTCTTTCCCAGGTCATTGCGTCCACAAAGGGTGACGCTTTTCAATGGGCATGATTCCCTAATGGAAAATTTTAAGTCAATTCAAATTATATCATAAGAGAACTATGTGCATGTTTACAGACATATATATATCTAAGTATATAGGTTTGCAGTTATAGAAAATACAAAAGCCTTGCTGATTCCAACACCTGCTTTTTTGTTAAATTTAAAACTAGATCTTTCGGCTGAAACAACTCATTGATTTAGTCAGGTTCACAGTATTCCCCCAAATGCAGGTTTCATAATTGTCAAATCTCTCCTTGCAATCATCAGCTTGTTGCAGTATCAGAGGTTCTGAAAGATGAAGAGAAAAGAAAAAGGTAAATACTACAGAATATATTATGTATTGTGACAATACTATAGAACTTACTTCATAATGCTGGGTAAGAGGATGTGATTTGTGTACACTATTTGGTTTTTTATTCTCTGGAACTCACATGTTTCACATGCAAACTTAGCAATAACCATTAGCTCTTCACAGAATGTGATTTTGTGAACTGAGTTGATATATAAATTGGCCACCATGAAGAATTTCTAAAAGTGATGTTTTGAGCATTAGCCCCTTGCCAATTTGCATTTTCAACTCAGTTGATAAAACCAAATGACAAAACAATTTTCTTTTAGAAACCTGCCACCTTTATTCTGTAGCTTAGTTGTAGAGCACTAGAGCATGGAAATCTGAAAGTCCACAGTTCAACTTCTAGTGCAAGACTCAGTTTTGTGTTGTTGTCATTGTTGTTCCACACTCATAACATCTTTCTTTATTCACTCTTTATACTGTTTTCCATAGATATGATGGCATTCTGCGTGATGGCCTGCCAGATTGGCGACAGCCTGTATTTTACTACAGGAGTGTGCGCAAAATGGGACTTATTGAATTCACAATCCTTCTCTTTTTGATATTAACCATTGGACACTACATTGTGGCTTGGTCTATTTATTTGGAGAAAAAACTTGAATTGGTATGTTCTGGTTGGAAGCTTGTCATCTCTCTTAACCCTTTATACCCCAACATCAACATGCATATTCTCTATACTGTTCTTTAGACATTTCCCAAGGTACTGACAAAAAAAATTTGTTTAACAATCCAGAACTTCTTAAGTTGGTGATCATTTTCTTTAATTCTCGTAACCTTGATATATGATTTAGGGGCAATATGGTCAGGAGAAACTAGATGCTCGTCATTCTTAGGGTTAAAAAGTCAAAGGAATACTGAAAAGGATTTCACTTTGCTTGTGCCAAATCCAATTTAAAGTTCTTCTGTGTGTAATTTATGGAGAGCACCTCTAAACACAAGTTAACAGTGCTAATGGTTTATGAATTGTTTGATATCTTAAGAACACTTGTAGGATGGGTTATTTGCAATCAAACAAACAGAAATATATTTTCTCTGATATAAACCTTTAGCTAATAAAAAATAAGTAATGTTTCTATAATGGCCACAGTCTGCTTTCTCTGTCCTTAACTCCTTCACTCACAAGATCTCACTAGTAGTTCCCCTTACTGTCTGCCATATAATTCATATAATATAAGTTTGGAGAGTTTGGCACTGGATCAACCAATAATCCACTGATTGATTTTTTTTTCTTATCACTTGTCTGCTTGAATTTATATCACAAGGTTAAATTGTACGGAGAAATCCTGTCTCAGTCACTCATGGGAGCTAAAGTGTTACTTTGTGACTTTTGTCATAGTTCAATCAAATCAGGTTCCTAAATGTATGAATTCTGAATTTTTGTTTTGGCTATTCTTTTCTCTACAGGAAGAGCTCCTATTTTCCAAGAAAAAACGCGAGGACAAGAAACGGAACAAAAAGTTGAAATCCAAACTGAATGATGAAGACATTCCTGATCTTGCAGACATAATGGGTGAGACTTGTTGACCAGTTTCATCTGATGGCGTTGTTTTCACTCCTAAAAAAAAAGACTAGATTTGAATTTAAAGCTCTCATGAATACCACTGTGTTCTTTACAGTAAGGACGCCCTGGAAAAGGTTAAAAGTTTTCTACAGTTTTCGGATATTTGCTTCCCTATGA